CTACTAAAAATACAAAAAAATTAGCTGGGTGTGGTGGAGTGCGCCTGTAGTCCCAGCTGCTTGGGAGTCTGAGGCAGGAGAATTGCTTGAACCTGGGAGGCTGAGGTTGCTGTGAGCCAAAATCACACCACCGTACTCCAGCCTGGGTGACAGAACAAGACTCTGTCTCAAAAAAAAAAAAAAAAAAAAAAAAATTAAGGAGTCTGGGGATCCTTTGCACTCTTCTTGCAATTTTTCAGTAAGTCTAAAATTAAAGAAGTAATAATTTTGAAACTTGATTTTTAAAGAAGAAAACACTACAGGCTCCTTGAAAACTTGGTAACTACCTGCACTAGATAATTTAAAATGTCCTTTCAAAGTTCTATAATTATTATGTTATATAGTATGTAGAATTATTATATTAGATATGATTATTCTAATAAAATATATATTACATCATTATAATTAGGATATAATATATAATTATTATAATTATATTATAATATTAATATGTTTTTTGATCATGTGAGTCTAGATTCTTCCATAGAACAACTTACCAACTGTGGTGTTTGTCAAATAGGGCTCAGGTATATTTGAAAAAATCATATAAAATACGACTTGTCTGAGATATCATTTTGTCATTGTTCCCACTGGATTGCATTAGCATAGAAGACTCACAGAGCAGCTATAAAACATCTCAGTTTTGCAATATCATGTGAGGAATGCTGAAGGCTGCTTGAGAGCTTTATGTGCTTATTTACAAATTTAAGGCAAATACGGCACATTTTTAAATACTGTCATTCATCAATTAAAGTGCATGCTAGAAATAAAGGTATAATTTTTTTGGAGGATGATAGCTGGCAGTCTTCAAATAATCAATACGAAAAGATCCTGACAGTAACTCTGAATAGAAGAAATATGAATGGTCAAGGTAATGTTAATGAAGTATGAAACCAAAAGATGTTTTCTGAAAAGTCAAAAATTAAATTCTAGTAAATGGAGAAAAGCAGTAGAAGGTTTTTGTAGAACTAATTTAGCTTTTTTTTTTTTTTTTTTTTTTGAAACAGAGGCACACTCTGTTACCCCAACCGGATTGCAGTTGTGGGATCATAGCTAATTTCAGCCTTAAACTCCTGAGCTCAAGTAATCCTTCTGCCTCAGCCTCTTGAGGAGCTGGGACTACAGATATGCACCACCATGCTCAGCTAATTTTTAAATTTTTTGTAGAGATGGGATCTCACTATGTCGCCTAGGCTGCTCTTGAACTCCTGGCCTTAAGAAATTCTCCTCCCTCAGCCTCTCAAAGTGCTGTGATTATTGGCATGAGCCACAATGCCTGGCCTAATTTAACCTTTAATTTAAAAAAAAAAAAGGTCGGGTACTGACAAGTCCAATTCCTACCACTTATGTGAAGGACTTCTATCAAGATAATGTCTCAGCTCTTGGGTTTCGGAGACTGGCTTCCAATTCCACTATCCTACTCATTTCCTTTCTTTTAAATAATGAGGTTTAAAAAATGCCATGAAGGTTAGTATATGAGAATATTTTTTCAGAATATTAAATTAGAAAAAGAAATAAAATTATATTGTTTGATAGGAGACTTTAATTAGAAACACATAAGCACAGTTTTTATATTTGATACTGATATGGTTCGTCTCTGTCCCCACCCAAATCTCATCTTGAATTGCAGCTCCCATAATTCCCATGTGTTGTGGGAGGGACCCAGTGGGAGATAATTGAATCATGGCAGTGGTTTCCCCCATACTGTTCCTGTGGTGGTGGATAAGCCTCAGGAGAGCTGATGTATTTATAAGGGATTTCCCCTTTTGCTTGGCTCTCATTTTCTCTTGCCTGCCACCATATAAGTTGTGCCTTTTGCCTTCCACCATGATTGTGAGGCCTCCCCAGCCACATGGAATTGTGAGTTCATTAAATCTCTTTTTCTTTATAAATTACCAAGTCTTGGGTATTTCTTTATCAGCAGCATGTAAACAGACTAATACAGATGCCTTTTGGAAAACTATTGAAGATGTCTTCAGGGGGCTTCTGAGCCAGACTTCCTGGACAGTGGTTCCTGTTCCACATGCCTATCATATTTCTAGCTGCTCCAAACTGCTCTTCACTAAGACTTCTTACATTAACTTCTTACATTAACTTCTTACATTAACTGTGAAATGAGTGCAGTTTCCCACTGAAGAAATGACTATAACTCACCATTTGATGCTTGAGAACAAACAGGGGTACTGAAATATGCATACAACACCCTGAATATTTTCCAAGTCTGAGATTGTCCCTCAATAAAAATATTATGGGGACATCTTGAATTCTTTGGATTCAGGAAATCCAAAGGAAACTTTGCTACCACTGACATACTGAGATCAAAGAAACCACACATCTAAACACTAGAAGTTCATTACAGTGAATACCAAACCAATCACAACTGGATATGAAAATGTTGGCTACTAATTTTGGTCAGGATGAAATAAGTTAAAGAAGTAAGAATAACCTGGAGTTGGGTCCCTCCAGAGTTATGAACAGGTTACAGGTTACAAAGCAATAATAACTGAATTGCTACAAGTTCCTCAGATTCTCTTGTGATTATATGTAAAGACATTTAAGTTTGGGATGATTTTATAAAACTATTCTTAAAATTAAACTTTAATGAGAATATTATTTTAAAATATAATCTATTTTCCCTCTTTAAATTATGCTTTCATTTGCATGCTGATGTGGAGAACTGGTTTTGAAAAGGAATTAAGTCCTTATTCCTTGATGATTTTGGTCACTGCTTCTGCGTAGCTATTTTGCTCATGAATTCCTTGTCATAGTCCATCACCTCTATGCTTTACTTCTATTTCTTCTGTAAGCAATAATTTCCCTTCAGGAATGTGCAACTCTGGACGTACAAGTTTCTTCCACCCATCCTAGAAATATGTGCCAGGCCAGAAAGACAGGGGATTTGGAAATTAAGAAAAGTAACTATAGGACACTTGTGAGAGATTAGGGTTAGTTTTTCACAGTGACCCTGAGATCTCCTTTAGGTTTAGAGTCCTGGATACTTTTCAAAAATGTTTTATTTTAAGTTTGAAATTGACAAATAAAATTGAATATACTTATTGTATACAACAAGCTATTTTGAAATATATAGTATATACATTCTGGAATGGCTAAATTGAACTAATGAACATATGCATTAACTCACATAGTTATCATTTTTTTTTGGTTGAGAACACTTAAAATCCATTCTTTTGGCATTTTTCAAGAATACAACGTATTGCTACTAGCTATAGTCACCATGTTCTGCCATAGACCTCTTAAACTTATCCCTTCCATCTAAATGAAATTTTGTATCCTTTGACTAGTATCTTTTCAACCTTCCCGAATCCATTATCTCAGTCCCTGGCAACCACCATTCTATTCTCGACTTTTATGAATTCAACTTTTTAAATTCAAGTTTTCATTTTTGTGGAAATTTCAATTATTATAAACTATTGGGAGCAAATGAATCTTCCAATACACCTCTTACTTGTGTATAGGTTTTTCCCATTTTGGAAGGAATAGGGTGAATCATAAAGGCGGAATGAATCAGCTTAACCACACTGATACCATCTGACACTATAAAGGGACTAAAAATTTAAAGTTAGCATTCTAATTGTAGCTCTGAAATCCAGACTCCCAACGTACACTCTTTGCCTTTCACTACACAAGTTTTAGTGCCTCAACTTTAGTGAGTTCTCCTGAAAGACTTTTCATTAGGAGCTGTTCAAATGACAGCTTTGACCAAAGTGCGTCTGCTGATAGCTCTTCCTCTCCATTTTACAATTTATAGCTGTGTAACTAGAGATCTGTGTCCGCAAATGCCTGAATTTTCCAACTCATCTCAGAACTGAATTTGCAAAGAAGATATCACTTAAAATTTTGCCACTTAATTCTTTGTGTTTTCCCCAAAGAATCCTAGCCAGCAACTAATTTTCTGCACAAGGTATCAAAAGCACTAAAAGTAGCAGAATCATAAACCTTTGCCTAAACAAAGGGATGGACTTAAATCTATTGAATGGACTCTGCATTTCTTGTGCAGTGTGAAAATGTTTAACATCCTCTGTCTGCCAGTTCTGGTTCTTTAGTTCTGCTCATTATATATAAAAAGCCTCCCTATCCCATATTCAGCTTCCTTTTTTGTTTCTTTTAACAGAAATGCTGGCATGCAACTTACCTCCAGGAATAGCTCAGAGCTGATGCTCTCGATTTAGTCATGCGAATTACATTTTTCTCCTCTTTGGAAACATTCTCCCCCAATCTCTGTAATCATGACCCCATTAGAGCTAGGTGATTTCAATCAAAACGAAACATACAGCTTTCGCTAACCTATAGGAAGGAACATATTCTACAATAGTGTCTAATGACATTCCAAGCTAAAAGAAGTATATTGTTTATCTGGAAGAATATCGAATATCTTTTCCCTTGGAAAACAAAGTTTTGTATATAAGACTCAGCTTCGATATATTAAAATGTATGCCTGTTTATTTTTTAGGTTGAAAAGTTTTTATCAAGGTTTTCAAATAATGACTGTAACATATAAGAATGATAGAACATTTGTAGACGCTTTTCATATTAGAAAATATCTACTAGCGGGTGATGTAAAATATACTGAAAAGAATAGAAGACAGTTGTTGAATGGCTTTTTACTTCTCATCATACAATTCTATTTCTGAATCTTTTTCTTAGTCATTTTTGAATATATAAACATTTTTTCTATTAGATAACTTTACCTGTTAAAATGAGCAAAATGGGGGTAGAAACATTAGCTCTGCATGCTATTTTGTTAACAGTCCATATACAACAGTTACGTATTTTGAAAGGAATATTTTCTCTACTTGGTATTAAATGAATTATGAAACTTTTGGTCCTAAACATGGGTACCTGTGCCCATTTCCCTGCTTTATCACACAACATCCCAAGAATTCTGTATACTTACAGAAGCACAGTTATCACACAACATCCCAAGAATTCTGTATACTTACAGAAGCACAGTTTTCAGACTTGTCTTCTATAAAACCAATTTGGCAAGGCATCCTCTGATTCTGCAACCAGTAGTCTGTTGACTCCAGTAAGCTGTTGCTGCGAAGAACCTGGGGGAACCCAGAAAAACTCAGTGCTTATTCGGCAATGCTTTCTATCTAAGCTCTTTTTTTTTTTTCTTATAAAAAACCTGTAGGTGTTTTCTTTTCCTTAGAGCTTCTGGGTGTTAGAAAAAAAAAACTTGCAGGATGATAGCACCTCTAAAATGGATAAAATATCCAACCTAGAATTAGCTGGAGAGAAATACATTAATGTTAACACGGATGTTCTCTCATCAAATTCAACACCTGGAAATGCCAATTGTGTAGCTTTTGCATAATCTGCAATCCAATGATTGTTTTTGGGGGTATGGTTCTATGGGCGATGGGGGTCAAATTGCATTTAGTGCTAATGTTCTTTCACACTCCATAAATATTTTCAATTAACAAAATGTGGGGTTTTTTCCTTTGATGTAATATTGATTCTTCACTTATTTAGTTCTGCTAACATCGCTTTGACTAGTGTACAGTTTTTCTAGAATGCCTAAGGTACTATGTTAAGTTTAAAAGTTGTTAGAGATAACTAAGAAACAAATTGCATTAAATACCATTTGCTATTTCAAAATAGGATGGTATGGCAAAAATAATTGGAACACATGAATTAACAAAACCAAATATGACTTACAAATATCTTAATTCTGAGCTTGGATTCTTAAAGCAAGGAAGAACAAGCATATTTTGGAGCTGAGATATTTTGAAGATGAAATATTATAAATAACTGCTAATGTCTTTAAATTATCCAGTTATTGGCTGGGCGTGGTGGCTCACACCTGTAATCCCAGCACTTTAGGAGGCCAAGGCAGGTGGATCACCTGAGGTCAGGAGTTCAAGACCAGCCTGGCTAACATGGTGAGACCTCGTTTCTACTAACCATACAAAAAGCCAGGTGTGGTGGCGTGCCCCTGTAATCCCAGCTACTGGAGAGACTGAGGCAGGAGAATCACTTGAACCCGGTAAGTGGAGGTTGCAGTGAGCTGAGATCGCACCATTGCACTCCAGCTTGGGCAACAAGAGTGAAACTCTGTCTCAGAAAAAAAAAAAAAAAGCCAAATATTGTATAACATTTTCTTTATCTTTTTAAAGATTCCCAATGCTTTTCTGGTACCCTCTACCCTCTATTTTATTAGGGGATATGTCTGGTAATACTTGACTACTACTTTCACTTAAGCAATATAACAGATTTAATCAGTTTGGTTAATGACACTAAAATAGGATGGTACTTCAATTACATTTCATTCGTACAACAAAAGATTGTCTTCTCTTTTTCTGTGAAGATAGAAATACATTACTTTTGGTCTCTGAATACAGTTAAGTAAATCTAATTCTGACACATTTTACATGAGTCATATTATTCATCTAAAATAATGAAAATGTATTAATGATAAATGTTATTATAATTTATAATAATATAAAATAGTTATATATTAAAATAATATCATTTATTATATTAATGATGAATTTTCATTAATAAATTTTCATCATTCTTTCCCAGAACAGTACAAAGAGACCCTTTGTGAATGAGCAAGTAGTTAAATGATGAACTTGGATTATTACTGCAGACCGACATTGGCTAGGGAGCTTCTCAGTTCTCTTAAATATTTTACCTAAACTGGTTCTTAAAGGGTGGGCTGGGACCTCTCAGGGTCTCTGAAATCTTTCAGAGAGTGCAGCAGTCAGACTACTTCGATAATAATACTAAGGTGTTATTTGTTCTTTTTGCTCTCGTTGTCTTGTATATATTCCGTGGAGTTTTCCAGAGGCTACGTGATGTGTGATAGCACCACAGACTTCATGCAGAGGCAGCTAGGACAGCTCAACTGTCTTGTATCAAGTCAGACATTAAGGAGATTTGCAACATGTGAGTTGAAATCACTCTTCTCGCTAAAGGGCTTTGTTTGGTTTTGGAAAACAAATATTTTTCATAAAAGTATGCTATATAAGATAGTGTGTTTATTATTATTTTAAAATTATTTTGTCAAATAATAAATTATTTAGTTTAAATTCTGTTTTATTATTAGAAAATAAAACAAATAAAAATTTTTCTTAGCTTTAATTTGTAACATGGAAATTAGCAATAAGTATCATCTATATAAACAAGAGTTTCTTGAGGTCCCTAATATTTTTCTTAGAGTGCAAAAGAATTTTGAGTTAAAAAAACATTGAGAACCATTGACCCAGGTGAACTTTATTTAAAGCAGGAAAAGGCTCTAACTCCACATTCCCTTTATGCCATTCAAATGCCTTTCCCTTTTATTTCCAGCTTGGAATGGAGTTTAAGAGCAGCGACATTAGTGGTCTAACTGGGTTGCGATACTAACTTGGTCATTAGTAGAAGGATGACCTCAAAGAGATGACTTAAACCCTGAGTTTCAGTTTCCATAACTGTGAATATGGATACTACTCATCTGGTGGGATCACTGAGGGTATTCAGTGAGATGATATATGTGAAACACTGTGCCATGGAAATGGTAAGTTATTCTCTCAGAACTTGGTTTTTACTGTTACTATTTGAAGGTGGCTGAAAAGGATAATAGAACTTTGGATGCCTTCTGTCTGAAATGAGAGGACTGAAAATATTTCAGATGTGTGATGGCAGATTTTCTTTAGCAAGTATTCTGGTCTAAGGTGTAATTTTAGTTATGCATTTTGTAGTATTAATAGTTACAGCTACTATTTTTGTATGCTTAGAATATGTTGAAGTTGTGCTAAAATTTTCACATATATATATATTTTTACTTTTTCACTGAATCTTTTTTGCAATGCTATAAGGTAGGAATTATTTGAAGGATACAAATCTTTACAGAAATTTTCAGGTTGAAAATCCAGACCTTGAGTCTCAGAGAGATTTGAATTTCTGCCCCAGGTTGTTCAGAGCCTGACTTTGGATGTGAAATTACTGAACAGGGCTGTCTTATATACCCATACAAATGGGTATGATTTGGGGTAGGTTTCCAAAAACTTATCTGCATCTATTTTTTTAATAAATAAAACTACATTTTCTTATGGACTTCCATTTTAAAGTTAGTTTTCTATGAATGAAATTCTGAGGTGACAATTTTCTTGAAAGACAGGAAACTTTTTGTGATGTAAATTACATAATGTAGTTAATCTACTTGGCAAGTATTATCAGTATTTTAATGTCTCAAAGGAAAGCATGCTTTTACACCTAATTGAGTTGTCTTTAAGCCAACTGATGTTATCATGCTTCTGTTCCTTGCCTTTCTGTGATCCCTAGATCTTGGAACACCCAACTACAAAGCACTCATTAACTCTGCATAAGAATATTAAAGATTTAAAACACAGGCGTCATCGCTTCTCGGTCTTTTGGCTAACATCAAGTGTAAAACACAGGCATCAAATGAGCATACTAGTTCATAATGCCTTACAATGCAGTTTAACAAATATTCTGACTAAGAATCACTTCTCAGTCATTCTAGAGCTCATTACTCAGAATTATATCCTGCACCTTGTCTACATTCTGATATATTTAGGACACATAATACCATGGTTACAACAAAGTATATCAACAGAGTAAAGCAACTGTCACTTATCAGTATCGGCCTTAGGAAGGGGACAGAGTTCAAACACAATTCACTTGGTGGTTTCAGAAAATTGGTGGGCTGGATGGGTACATTTTCCTGGTGAAACACAGACAGGCAGAGGGGGACTTGCCAAAATTCATCAGTCTGAAACCTCGCACTGAGAAGACTCCAGAGCTATGAAAGGAGCTGTCTGAAGATGAGGCTAGTTGGGAGAAGAGCTGGCTACCTGTGGGATTTCACCTGCATTTAACTTCTCTAACAGAGAAATGTGCACAGACAGATTAATCTGCCAAGTCCTCGGCAGATAGTTCAAAGGTATTAATTCTTTTGAACCTATTTGAAAAATAAATAACTAAAAATATACAAAGACCTTGCTCTGTCCTATCCTAGAAGTGAGGAAAATGTCAAGTGCTTTAGGGATCTGCTCATTCAATGAAAAATTTTAGAAAGATTTCTCATTTGACTCTTCCATTTCCCTGGGATACTGTGGATCTTTCCTAAAGCACATCTTTGCTTTAGAAGAAACAGAAATAGCAAAATAAGGAACTGGAATTTAAAATAAAACCTAAATCTTGCCGTGCTTAAGAAGAAATGTTTGGAGGAGAGCTTCTTTGTTTGGTGAGAATTTTCATTCGCCACATAAATGTAACTTTAAAATTTTAATTTTATCATCATTAAAAATTAGTTCATCTGATTATATCAATAATTAAACATTTTTCCATAAATTTCATTAACATTTAGATGATTCATTATTAAATATTTATATTTTTAATTATTGACCAAATAATTGTACATTTATTGAGAACTGTCTGGGCTAATGCCCTAACCCACACTATTAGCTGAATTAAATCTCTGGGCTTGTGAGGTAAATTCTCAAGGCTAATGTAGATAAGGTTCTTAAAACAGTGCCTGGTGCATCCTAAGTGCCCGATAAGCATTAGCTATCATAATAGTTACTATTTCCTTTGCCCAGGCTTAGAGGGATCAAGAATTTATCTAGTTTTTACAGAACTAGAATTTCAGTCAGGTTCCCAGACATTAGAGCCTCCACTAAGGCAATGTTCCATTGAAATTATACAGTTTCTCATTTTCAGGTTCTACCAAATCCCAGTCTATACATTTATCCATATTTCGCGCTCATCTCTGAGCTCAGGTGTGTTCAGGAGGTTTGAATTCCAGTCCTGACTCCTTGTTAACTGTGTAGTTAAGTCCACTAGCTCCTGGCCTCCCTGTGCCTTTGGTAAACAATTAAAACAAATGATCTGAAGGCCACTTCTATACCAACCATCATGTCATTCTCCTCCTCCCTTCCGCTTTTGCTCCTCCTCCTTCTCCCTTTCTCAAATAGTATACATTGAGAGCCAAATAAGCAAGAGAGAATAAAAATGCGGACTTCAGTAAACCACTTAGCATCATATGTTAAGCAATTTCAGCCTGTGAAAAGCTTTTAGTTTCATGGCTTGGACAAGT